GTGAAAATGTGTATTTTATGTGTAAGTTTTTTCAAATTACTGCAGCATTGTTGCACAGAACTTGTGAAACCTTAAAAGTTCACCACTGTGTAAAAAAAAACTTGTTCATAATAATCTGTTGTCAGTGACCAACATGTTAGATGATTTGGGACTTTCTTATCAGGAAATACAGACAAAAGTTTGCAATTCTACCAGAAAATTCTTAAGTTCAAAGCTTAAATTCCAAAACTTCTCATTATGTTTAAATAAATTAGGAACAGAAATATTCCTCTTAATGGAACCCTTAGTATATCAACTTTAGCCTTCTGAAAGCATGAAATGACTCATGACACTCATTGAATATTTTTAAAAGGAATTCCTTGAAAAAAACCCAGGATTTAGGAACTCCCATGTCACTAAAATTCAGTGTTAGACTGTTGTTATTTCACAATCAAATTTTAAGGCAAATGACATATTTAGGGCTCAATATTTTCATGTTACAAAAGCAAAAATAATTGTCTTATTAAAAGAAGTTGATATTTTCCTTTGACCAGTAAAAGACAGTAATCCTGTCAAATCTATCCATAATTAGACCTGAATCATGACGTTATTGTTATACAAAGAACCATTTTAAATGTCTTAAGAGGATTTTATTCAGTATGAATCACAGTTTCTCTCTTCCATGATCTTAAAATTTTTGGAGACAGTATGTTCAGGCAGATTTGGCTGCGAATTAAAGGGGAGAAAAAAACAATGCAATTTTGTGTCTCCACTGTGACTTATTTTTTTGGTGAAGCATTTCACAATCCTCATGTGTGCAACTGCTGCACACAGGGCACGTGTATTTTGGGCAAGGCAGCAAACAGCACTGTGAGCTCTGGAAACAGCCTGAAATGTGGACAAAACACACCAATGGCTTTAAAAAGCCAGATGAGCTGTTTAACAAATGTAACTTAGATATCCAGCAAATGCAACAAGAACAACTCTTTATGCTGTCTGGTCCAGAAAGCAATGCTTTTAGCATGTGTGGCTAATAGGAGCCTTAGCTGTGCTTGATCACTTCCCCCATAAGCTGTTTAAACATGAGGCATTAGGCTGGAAAGCTGAGCACTTTCACAGAGGATGGGGGTTAATAATTCACAGTGCAAAATCCTGTTTGATCTGCTGAGAAATTCAATCCAGCTAGAGCACAATTTTGTTTAATAGCATGGTGGGCGAGGAGGTTGCCAGAGGTGGGATGCTTCCCTCCTGGCTGAGGTCAGGCTGCCGGAGCTGGCCCATGTGCCACCACCTGTGGTCTGCTGTCCCCCTTCCTCATGGTCCTGCTCCCGTTTGCTGCGTGTCCAACACACACACCTGTACTCATGTCTGAGCTCCTTCTTCTCTGGCAGCTGCTGTAGGTGAGTTGTGGATGTGTTTTTGGAAGTCTCCCAAGGCACAGATACTCCCAGCCAACCAGAAGGAGCCTCATTCTCCAGGTGGAGGCTCCCCAGCTGAGAAATGTGCCAATAATGACAGAAGAGAAGCCAAGCTTTTCCCTGGTGTGTTGATGCACAGGCAGATTCACTGCTGTGCGTGCCTCTGAGGGCTGCCTGTCAAAGCCAAGAGCACGAGGGAGCTGTATAGGTAGGATTTTCCTCTCGGGCACATCCTACACATGGCAATTCACTGCGTGCTTCCATGCAAGGTCTAGAGCTGTGTCTTTGAGGAGAACGGAAAATTTGTCAAAATGTTGCCACTTTAACAGAAAGCTGGGTGAGTTCCCTTGTTCTTAATAGAATGTACCTTTCTTTTACTACTGCTAATGCAGAAAGCAGCTGATCATATTTTGTGGGACTCACATTGTTTTTATAGTACTTTGCCTAAGGAATAAACCAGAGCATATTGCATGCCAAGAACGGCAAGGATTTTATGGTGGAAGACAGGCCATGGATTCCCATGGATGCTCTTTCTTTCCTTCAGACCTCTGAGAGAAATTTAGTGCTATACTGTGCCATCAGAGACATAGTAGGTCCTCAAAAATAGAAAGGATTGTCATTTGTCACTTTAAAGTGCATTCAACATGCACTTGCCTGTTTGGGTTGTTAAAGCATTTCATCGAGCCCTTGTGCAACACCTCATCCTAACCCACAACTGCAGCCTTTGCTGTAATACAGTGATGATAAATTAATGTCTGGCTTGGCAATATTGTTACAGTCTCCAATTCTGAGAAAGTGTTTTCATTTAGAGAAGAGAAATCAAATGGCAGATTCCACTGTCTCTCACCCTTCCTGTCCATGAACAAGCTGGTCCTTGTTGTAAACACTGTGTAACTTGCTCTCAGGGGCAGGAGGCACTGTGGAAGCCCCTCACCCTTGAAATTAGGGCAGCACATCAGTAGTTATTTCTTGGGGATTTTTTTAGTTAGCTATTTCAAAAGGAGAAGGAAAGAGTTTCTTGAAAACTGAACACAAAGGTTTCACAAGTAGAAAGACCAGAGCAGGCAGAGGCAAAATGAATTACAAACATAGTGCTCCTTCCAAACCCAGAATCACCAGCACAGAAGTAACAATGTGCTGTTGTTCACCTTCCAAAGTCTGAGACTGTTTTCATACATGATGCAGAGTGGATAGTCAGAATCCCTGGGTAATCAGCTTCGTCAGCTGGGCTCTGACAAGGTAAGCACTGCTTCCTGAGGCTGCTCAGCCTGAACTCACACAACACCCTGGCTGAGACCAAGAAGGTGACTGCCACTGCTCAGAAGTACCTTACCAAAGATAGACATCCACAAAGCCATGGCTCTTCAGTGCTGCTCTCAAGGGCTCACTGAGTTTCCTGGAGACACAAAAATCCACCAGGAGGAAGCACTTGTGGCCCACTGGAATGGTTGCATTGGTATGCTCTCTCAGAAAGGACCAGCCTTTCAGCAGTGGAAATTTCCAGGCATGCATTTCTGTCCATGCTACAAAGAGCCATGGCAGGCAAGGGTTAGTAATGTTCTTTCCTTGTTTTTTCATGTCATACATACATCAGGGTTTGATCGTGAATTCATACACTAATTTTGTTGGGTGTCCTCACAGCCTTAGAGAAAGTAAAGGCAGGGAGTCTTTGCAAGCAGCATTTGATACCTGCAAACTTGTGGGTTGAGTCAGAGAGCTGGGATAAATGAAAGGGGTATCTCATCATTCCTAGAAACTGCTAAGCTATAGACAGCAGAGGGATAGCCAAGACAGCAGGATGCAAGAAGTGCTTACAGGAGTGGAGGAGTGAGGACAGCATGGGTAGCCTTGTTTAAAGGAAGGTATACTTCCTTTTTATATATCCCAGCTGCTGCTGCCTCAGCAAGCTCAGCTCACAGACCACAAGTCTGCATGACAGAGCAGCAGCTGGGAGATATAAAGACAGGGATTCAAATGAACTGTGTGTATTTTAAAACATGAAAACACTGCAGCAGGGTCCAACCCCTCCTTGTCTTTTGCCCTGCCCTGACTACTTCCAGCACCATTAATCTTAAGGAAAAACTAGACTGGCCTTTGAGCCAGGGCTTTCCTCTCTGATTACAGTGTTTGGACTACACAGTGCCGGGTAAGCCCCAGATGCTGGAGCTGTGCATCAAAAGCACTCCCATTCCCAGACGGGAGATGCTGTGTTAAGGGACTGCCACCTGGCAGCATCTCCAAGGAACTGCAAAAACACTGCAGAGACAGAGGTTAGTGAGCATCAGCTTGCAGGAGACTCGTGGTGCACCCAGGAAAGAGAGACCAGGTCTGGTTGAGCCAGACCGGTGTTGCCGATTGACAGAACCGGCGTTGAGGGGCTGCTACTGTGATGAAAGGCTCTAGGGCAGGGAAATATTCATGGTGACCCTTATCAGGGACTTTCCCACTCTCTTAAGAAGTTGTTCTTCCTCTGAGAAAAATCTCACTGTTTTCCCTCTCTTACTTCAAGTTGGCTGAAGATGCCTGACCTAGTTGTATCCAGTCATGGTCTCATTTAGGTAAGAGCTAAGCTTTTGATTTGTGAAGAGACACCTCAAAAGGTAGGTCTCACCTTGTCCCCACTCTTCTAGTTAAACAGAGAAGACCAAAGGTGACAACTGTACTAAAGAGTGGCGTGGGATGAACAGAAAAATGAAATAATCTCCCTTGACCAAGACCAAATAACCCAAATTCTTTCACTTTGAAGTCTTCAATACTGACTCCTTACCTGGGCTACTCTTTCCTTCTTATGTCTTGCGACAAGGTGGCAGATGAAACAAGATCATCTTCCCAACACATTCTGTAGGATTTTTCCCCCAGATAAGGCTCTCAGACAGGTTGCCTAAAGCTTTCTAAACAGCTGACTTTGAATAGGAGCATACAAAAGGCAGTAAGTAATTTCTCTAACATTTCAGAAGACTTAAATTGGGAACACTTTGGAAAGTGTACTGTGCTACCCAATATCATAGGAAACAAACTTCCAAACTTTTGTTTGTAAAGAGACCTGCATGAATAAGACAAATTTGAGGCTTAGCTGAGCCTGAGATCCTTTTGCCAATAGTTGTTGCTATGCTTAGCAGGTGGAGGGCCCTTGACAGGTAGTATGAAGTTTGGTTTTCATAATTTTTGTATAAACTTGCATACAGAGAAAAGCTCAAGAGATGGAGAGCTGGAGAGATTGAGTCACTTTTAATTTTTAGAGTCAACACAGTGGATTAAGGTCCAGAGCCACATCATTAACACTCCTTCAGCTGTGACCTCTTAAGATCATTGCTAGATATGACAGCTTGGCTAAGCCTGCTGAGCTAAGAACACCCTATATGTGTTCACACATTAAGGCTATGAAGAAGTTGGTCAATGAATACCAAATGAACATTTTTTACCAAGGAAGTTATGAAAAATCCCACTCTGTCATTCGCACAAGTTGTCTGACAGACACCAACCTGGGGCCAGAGCTGGTGACCCAGATGTGAAAGCATCCGTGCACCCCCTGCCAATTATCCGTGATTCCCAGATCGCTGAGAATGTGGAGCTGAATTGAGTGGGGGATCACACAAGACTTACCAGTCCGTGTGCGCATCATCGATCACCAGGAGGATCTTGGGTTTCTGTGCCACGGGCGGTGCGGGGCCGGCCGAGTGATCCATCAGTCCCGCGGCCGCTTGCGTGGTTTGCTTCATGGCGCTGGAGATGGAGCTGAAGATGCTGCTGCCAGCAGAGGAGGAGTGCGAGGGCTGGGGTGGCTGCAGGTGCTTTCTCTCCGTGGCAGGAGAAACCGGGGAGCTGGTGGAGCTGTCGGGGCGCTGCAAGTCCATCATGTAGCCATTGGGCAGATTTGCCACGAAACTACTGTCTGAGAGACGCCGCCGGAGGAAATTCATTGCTGCAGCGTTGTGGGGAAACTTCCGCAGCAAGAGCAAGGCTGGACTGTGCTGTTACCAGTCCTGGAGGATGTCTCTGTGTCCGTGTCTTCTTAAAGTCCAGGCTTCACCGCTTGAAATCGTGCTGGAGATATATGCCTAATTTTGTCAGCTATATTTGCTTTCTCTCCTGTGGGAAGAGAATCAAAGACATATATGTGAGATACATACTGCGAGACTGAGATAAGTGACCCCCTTTTGGTCTCTTGGACAGGTACCTTAGTCAACAAAAGAGAAGACTGCTGGTTGCCATGCAGTATTCCACACCGCTACAGTCAAACAGGACAAAATATGTGTCACGATTCTCATCCCCAAATGTTTTCTGGTCAGTACAGACCAGCCTGCCCCAGCTTAGGGGCTAACAATTCTATCACTGTGGAGAAAGAAAAAATTACTCAGATAAATGTTAATTTTAAAAAGAGAGGCATCTTATTTCTGGTATCTTGTGTGTTAAAAATTACAGAATAACTAGCAAATAATCCAAATGGATATAAAGTTGTATCATCTCTGGTAGGCTTGTGAGCAAAGTTCTGAATGAAAGGAATAAATGTCTGAAATTCAAATAGGATATAAACAACAAATGGCAGAAAAATTCCCACACACATTTTGATCAAATTCAGTGACAGAAATTACTCTTTTCTGCCCCTCCTCCTCTCTGCACTCAGACTCTAAGGCAGGTACTTTCTGATTTTAGAAATTCACTTGTAGGAACTTTGCAGGTATTCAGAACTAGCAACTTGGCTGTCTAATCTTCACATAGTTTTTTCCTCTCTTGTTGGTGTTTTTGGTTTGTTTGGTTTTTTGTTTGTTTGTTTTGTTTTGATGAGAATTTATTCTGCTCAGCTCTTCAAGTGAGAAAATTAACACAGTGAAATGTGGGTATTTGACTCTTCTCCCTCAACCATGGTTTAACTTTGTTTTTACTCAGAGTACTAAGTATTTTGGTAATTAAATAATCTCACAGTTTAAAAAAATAATTCACCTCTAGGCACATCCCAGAAGACAGAATTTCACAGTAATTTCCCAAGGAATATTTATTTGCTAAGGCAGTCTTTGAGTTTTGGTTGGTGAGATTTAGGAGAAAAACAAAAGAAAATTATTACTGGTAAAATACATACGTTTTTCAAGACAAACATATTTCCAGAAAAAAAAAAAAAAGAGTTATCCCACACATCAAGTGAGATGAGTCTCATGCATCGTGATATCATTGTTCAAATTATGCCTAATCCCCTTCAAGTCTCTTTGAATGGCCCCCTACAGATACTGGAGCTGCTTGCCTTCACCTGGTTTGGTCTCCCTTACTGCTCACCCTCTTGTGCCAAACTCAGATTGCCTCCTGATGGCAGAAAATTGTCTTTTCCCACTTGTCCAAGAGAATTAATTGCCAATCTCCCTCCTGGAGCTGTGGGTGAGAGCTCATGGAGCAACCAAATATTCTTAAAATAATCAAAATTTCTTAAAATAAGCTCTCGTTTATTCTCACCTACAGGGATTTACAAAGCATTACAGACAAAGGAGTCAGACCTGTCCACCTCTGTATCTCTTGTAGCCCCCAAACACTTCAAGAGGCTGAGATGAGCCTACCTGGAAGTCAGCAAGCTACAAAGAGCCCCTTGGCATGTCCCCAAATCTCGCTGTCCATCACCACCCTGACTCCACAGGCACAGGATCCATCCGGAGCAGAAGGCTCCCTGCTGCTGACATTGGCTTATTAAAGTAATTTTTCTTTTGCTTTCTAAGCCCTGGCAGTGCAAGTCCTCTGACTTTGCTGCAGCCTGGAGGTGGTCTTTTCCCAGGGAATGGCTCAGGAAATCTTTAATGACTTCCTGCCACGTTCACAGTCGATAATGTATCTCGGGGTATTGTGCTGACTTCCCGCCTGGTCCTGGTGCACCCGGTGGCTGCACAACATCAGCAGACACACTCCAGGGAGCACTTTAGCAGCACTGTCTGGTTCTGCAGCAATTGTTAAAAAAAGCAGGTAATGGAGAGTACCCATGAATTGTGAGCTAGCTACTCTCCTCACATATACACTCACACAACACTTGTCCTACTGCAGGAATGGTGAGTGCCAGCACAGAGCCATCCACTGTTACCTGTCCACGATGACCTGGGCAGCACAACCTACAAAGGCTTTGAGGGATTTATATACCACAGACTGGGTAAAAATGTGCTGTGCTGTCCTCTGCTCATGAACCTGTGTTTTCTCCTTGGAAAAATCCACTCCCTTGAGTGACAATAAGGAGTAGGTGCAGTCCTGGTTAAAGAGAAGCATCCCAAAGACGTCTATTGTCAGAAGGGGTCCAAATGAGTATCCCATTACTGTGTACAGCTATTAGACATGCTCTTTTCTAGGGCCTTGGTGTTAACTGGCAAGATGTGGGGCATAAATTTGATACTGGTCTTGGGAGAAGCGCCTGCAGCACAAGATACCTTTCATGCTCTTTGCACGACTTGCACAACCTCAGAGCTGCTGGTTCCTGCCGTGGCAGCTCCCAGCCACGGGAGGGAACCTGCCCCCAGCCACACAGGCTGGACAAGGCTCTTGTCAAAAGCCAGTATATCTGGGACAGGGTCCATAAGGACTTGCATTTTTGTGAAGGTCCTTCTTCCCCACTACCAGGTGTTTGCACAGCTGCTTCCTCTCCTGAGAGATTTGCGCTCTCCAAATGAACATGGGTAACTTGCAAAGCCTCAGCAAGTAAATAAATGGGCAAATGTCTCTGCTGGCCCCTGCAGTGAGGGAAGAACAGCATGGAGGCTCGTGACCTAGGGTGTCCCAAGGCTGGGTAAGGCCAGAGTATTCCATGACGTGTATGGAAGGCACAGAGTTTTCCTCCGCAATGGGGCTTCTCAAATTGTGCCCAGTGCTCGCACTAAACAATTTGTCATACCTAGTGCAAGGCCATGACCACTCTCCTCCTGGACCCTTTTGAACAAGAATATTTGCAGTGACCTGTCTTTTTTTTTTTGTCCACCAGGGGTTTCGTAGTGGGAGATGTTGCCCAGGAGATGCTGGAAGCTGGCAAAATTCTCTTGTCTAGAGAGTTTGGGGCATTGTACTTAGTCTGGCCTTTCCCTCTGCTGGTTGGCACAGGCTCCACTATCTGCTAAGACTGGGCTGCATGCCGTTGGCTTAGGGAGGAAGGAGAGGAAGCCTAAACCCTGATGTCACAGGGAAATCTCTCTCTGGCAAAGCACACAGAGGTTAAAATCAAACAAGATGACACTGCTGCAGCAGAGAGCAATGCCTGGCTCTACTCTGGGGTTCCCGTCAGGTACCTCGACTCTGGGCATCTCAAAGTGATGGCACAGACTGTCCTCTCATTATATACGTATTTCTAATGAGCTGGACAAGGTAATTAAAATAGATTTTATCTTTTTTTTTTTTTTTTTTAATGAAGTTATTGGTGGCTTCCCTGTATCAATTTGTCAATTGCCATTAGTGCCACCACAGAGGAGATCTTCTCTGCAGTGGGAGTGGTGCAAACTGCCAGGAGGTTTTCTGCCAGCAGTTCACACTGCTTTGATTACTGGAAAACCTCATAGTCTGCTTTTGCATCACTCACACTTACTGTTATTTAACTTTCAAGTGGCATTTTCATACAGGCACAGGCTGAGCAGGTTAGGACCTCTTTTTCCTACTGCTTGAGACTCTCTGTGGACTTCCTGAGGGCTCAGCCTGTCAGGCCAAATCTCGCTCTGTAGCTCTCAGCAGCACAGCATCCACCAGTGCATGTACAGACCTTACCCTGGCAAGTGAGCAGGGCTGCAATTTTAACAAATGCAGGAGCCTACACCTCCATCAGAAGCAAGACTGATCTACTGAGTGTTTTTTTGTCACTCCAGAGCCACAGGCAGGAGAGCTGCTGGCTCTACACCATCAAGTTGTACATTCCCTGTGAACAACAGTCTTCCTATGGCTCACACGGTGACACATCACCTACTTAATGCTGTGCCAGGCACAAACTTGCCTGCAGGAAGGGAGCTCCCTGCACAGCTGGAAATACAGCCCATGGGCTGCTTCCAGACAGAGCAACAGCTCCTGAGGACTTCCTCAAGTTGCAAGACGAGCAGCTGCTTCTCACCAAGCAGGAGTCATCTGCTGCCGAGTGAAACACCTGCTCCTGAAAGATGCTGGGAAAACAGCAACTGAGCCATGGAGCTGCAGGCTGGGGATCTGGTCTGTACTTCAGGGGGAGGAAATAGTAACCAAGAAACAGGAGAATGAGTGAGTCCTGAGGAAAGAGAGCAGGCAAGAGAGACGGGGAGAGGAGCAGGAGGAGGAGGAACCATCAGGGAATCAAGAGGGAGCAATGTGAGCAACTAAATGAGGCAAGAAGAAGGTCCATTAGAGCTGACCTTGAAAACAGCAGCCAGGAGACTGGAACTGTCAGCCCCTCACTAACATGCAGTTAAAATTCCTGGCTGATATTTTTGGAAGAGCAAGGGAGGATATGCAATCTACTCACTCAGCACACTGACAGCAGCCAAGCACCTACCTGCTTTCTCTCAAGGATATACTCCATGGAGATGCAAGTTATCTCAGAAAACCTGTTGACATGTGTTAGAAAACAAGAACAAAATGTTCACTTAAACCTCTAGTTGGGTTATTTTCTGATGCGCAGTAGTGTCTGGAGGGAACCCAGCTCATCTGGCTGATAGCTGTTACCCAGGCTTAGATTTCCCCTGAGCTTGTTATCTCATGCTGTCAGGTAATGAACTGACACAACCACACCGACCTGCATCTGATTACTGCTCTTGACAGAGCAATGCTGGAGGCAGCAGGATGGAAAAACAATGCCGAGGGATTAAACCCCCCACCTCACCATAAGGGACTGCACACTTCCTTCTGCCCCATGGTGGGTGCAAAGGTGAGGGGATGCTCCTGCCCTGGCAACAACCAATGACCTATGGTTGTTGACCTCACATCCATTTTGCAGATTGTCCTCAGCATACAT